GTGAATCAGACCCTAAGAGTGTTGTTGATCATGAGCATACCGACCCATCTATGACAGAAGATCATGAAGATTCATTGGCAACAATTAGCTGTCATAGAAGCATGGTATGCTTTATTAAAGTTTTTAAAAAGAATCTTGATTTTAAAGTATGAAATCAAGATTTTTTATTATACCTTCTCTTTTTTATGGATATAGTTACAGGAGGTAGATGCAAAGGCAAAGGGTGTGGCTCCTTCACGACCGAAACATGTAGTGGTTGGTGTATGCAGGCCGAAGGAGGTTGAAAGGAATAGGATGGATCTTCCTATAGTGATGATGGAGCAGGAGATTATGGAAGCGATATATGAGAATATCAGTGTCATCATATGTGGAGAAACAGGGTGTGGTAAGACTACACAAGTACCTCAGGTGAGGTGAGGAGCTCTTGTTTGATTCCAGTAGTAGTCTATATCATATATTTTATATTTTATATTTTGATTGTTGTTGTTGCAGTTTTTATATGAAGCTGGATTTGGTTCAAAAAGCAGCGGTATTATTGGCGTTACACAACCGAGGCGTGTGGCTGTGCTTGCAACTGCGAGGCGGGTGGCATTTGAGCTTGGGCTTGGTCTAGGGAAGGAGGTTGGTTTCCAAGTTAGGCATGACAAGAGGGATTGGGGACAACTGCTCTATCAAGTTCATGACTGATGGAATATTGCTTCGAGAATTACAGGTTTCCTACCCTTCCTCAACAAAAAAAAAAAAAAACAAAAAAAAGCCAAAGCCTCTATTTAATACGTTGACATGATCTTTTATGTTGCAGAATGATTTTTTGTTGAAGCGATACTCAACCATAATATTGGATGAGGCTCATGAGAGGAGTCTGAATACAGACATACTTACTGGGATGCTATCTCGCATCATAGTCGAACGCCTGGTAACTATTCTCTCTCTTTCTTTACACTTTGCTTTTATACGTTAAATAATTGCTTATTATGAGTCATGATGTTGTGTTTAATGGCAGAAAATACATGAGCAGCAAAAAGCATATGAGGCTTCGACAGGAAAGACAATTAGCCCTGAAAAGAAGATCTTCCCATTGAGACTGATACTGATGAGTGCCACGATGCGGGTTGAGGAGTTTGTGTCTGGGGGTAAAAGTAAAATCTTTGCTAATCCGCCACCTGTAATCCAGGTTCCAAGTCGACAATATCCAGTGACTACACATTTCTCAAAGAGAACAGATGTTGTGGACTACATTGGGCAAGCATATAAAAAGATTTTGTCAATTCACAAGAGACTCCCATCTGGGGGAATACTTGTATTTGTCACTGGACAAAGGGAAGTAGAATACTTGTGTCGTAAGCTGCGTAAAGCATCTCTTCAGATCACCAATAACTCCAACTCCAACTCCAACTCCAACTTAAATTTAAATAACAAAGTTGTTGTCTCTCAAGACTTTGACTTGAAGGAGATCGATGAAGCATTTAAGATGGAGGAACAAACAGATAATGATGAAGGCGATGATTGTGATTTGTCAGATGATGATGATGATGATGAATCTGATGAAGAAAGCGATTTGGATTCTGTTAATGATAACGATGTGTTAGGGGAAAATGAAAATTTTGCTTCACTGAAAGCAGCTTTTGAAGCTTTGTCTGGGAAAAAAACAAGTTGTGAATCTGATCCGAAACAATCAGATTCAGAAAAGGAAAAGGAAAAGAAGGATGATGGGTCCCGTAAGGGTCCTGGTGCATTGACGGTTTTGCCCCTGTATGCGATGCTTCCTGGATCTGCACAGCTTCGTGTGTTTGAAGATATGAAGGAAGGAGAGAGGTTAGTGGTGGTTGCTACTAATGTTGCTGAAACGTCTCTGACAATCCCTGGGATAAAGTATGTGGTAGATACAGGAAGGGAAAAAGTTAAGAATTATAATCCTTCAAATGGGATGGAAACATATGAGGTGCAGTGGATAAGCAAAGCATCTGCAGCTCAGCGTGCTGGAAGAGCTGGAAGAACTGCACCTGGCCACTGTTATCGTCTCTATTCTTCTGCTGTCTTCAACAACATATTCCCTGACTTTTCTACTGCTGAAATCTTAAAAATTCCGGTTGATGGCGTGGTTCTTCTCATGAAATCCATGGGCATTAAAGAGGTATTCTAAATCTACTTTTCATTTTCATTTTTTTTGGTTAAACCATACAGAGACATGTTTGTTACCAACTCATTTGTCCTAAAAAATGTAGAGCATTGAGATTCTTTTTTTATTTAACTTGTTTCAGATTACAAAGTTCCCGTTTCCTACTCCCCCAGAAGCTAAAGCATTGGTTGAAGCAGAGGTTTGTTTAAAGTCTCTTGAAGCCCTGGACTCTGATGGGAAGTTAACGCCTCTAGGAAAAGCTATGTCACATTATCCGATGAGTCCTCGTCATTCGCGAATGCTTCTTACAGTCATTCAAATCCTGAACAACAAGGGAAGAGGTTCATCAACAAGACAAAACTTGATTCTAGGTTATGCACTTGCAGCTGCTGCAGCCTTGAGCTTGTCAAATCCTTTCGTAATGCAGTTTGAAGGAGGAGATGGCAAGTCTAGTGAAAATGTTATCATAAGTAAGGATGATAAAAAGAAGAAAAAGAAACTCAAAGAAGCATCCAAAACATCCCGTGCAAAATTCTCCAACCCTACGAGTGACGCCTTAACTGTAGCTTACGCCCTTCAGTGCTTCGAACAATCAGAAAACCCGTTACAATTCTGCGAGGAGCACTCGTTACACCTTAAAACCATGGAGGAAATGTCAAAGCTGAGAAAGCAGCTTCTCCATTTAGTGTTTAACCAAAAACCATGTGATACTGATACACAATCACAATCGGATCTTTTGTGGAATCACAGTAGTATAGAGGATGTAGAACACGCTTGGATGGTTTCTACTAATCCCAACAATAAGCATCAGCATCAACATCAGCATCCATTGATGTTGAATGAAGAGGAGCTTTTGGGGCAAGCGATATGCGCTGGGTGGGCCGATAGAGTTGCGAGACGTGTGAGAGGGATTTCAGGGTTATCAGAGGAAGATAGGAAAGTGAGTGCAACAAGATACGAAGCTCACAAAGTAAACGAAACAGTCTTCCTTCACAGATGGTCGTCTGTTTCCAGAACTGCCCCTGAGTTTTTGGTTTTCAGTGAGCTTGTGGAGCGTAAGCGGGCGTATATACATGGAGCCACAAGGGTAAAACCGGAATGGCTTGCGAGATTTTCTACCTATCTTTGTAGTTTCTCTGCTCCACTTACAGAGCCTAAGCCATATTACGACCCTCAAACCGACCAAGTCTATAATTGGGTGAATACAAGTTTTGGTGACCACTTATGGCAGCTCCCACTCCACAGTTTGCATGTGAAAGACGAGAGAGTTGAAGTGAGAGTGAGTGTTTTCTGTTATGCTTTGTTGGAGGGTATCGTGTTGCCATGTGTGAAACGGGTGTGTGAGTTTATGGCTGCTGCACCTTCGAGCGTGTTGAAGCCGGAGACTGCAGGGCATAAGAGATTTGGGAAAATTATTTATGAGTTGAAAAAAAGGAACATTCACAGTTGTGGCATGCTAAGGAAGGCCTGGGATGAAAATAGAAGAATACTTTATCAGCCGCTCTTGGATTGGTTTCGGGAGGGATTTGAGTTTGATGATTTATGGGAGGCCATGCAGCGAGAGGTACGTTTAGATCCTCAGGAACGCTTTGCCAAGAGAAAAAAAAGTATGTTGAAGAGATAAGTTTTGTTGTTTAATTATTAGGTATTGATTTATCAGTATAACAGACAATTTTGATAAAATATGTTTCCCAACAACCAGAACCTCATCTTTATCTTTTTCACAATTTTTTTTTTTTTTTTTTTTTTTTTTTTTTTAAATAAATAACTTTAGATGTGAATGATAAAAGGAACAACGAAATATATTCATTCATTGTTCAGATTAGAAGATCAGAAATCTCAACATATATATATATATATATATATATATATATATATATATAAATGACTGTGTAGTCTGTTTGGTAATTACTTTTATACAATTTGTACCTTGATGCATGCATGTGTTATGAACAGGATTCTAAGAATCGATCCAATAACACAAACAATCAAACGATTTTAATATTGTTTGAAAACACTCAATAATACCAAATGATTACAAGAATGATGATAGTTTAGTTGATTCGAGATAACCAATCTCTTAATAGGAATGAATTCCAAATTTCACACAAAAGATAGATACCTCACTCCCTTGCCCACTACCCCCTCTTGTAATATCTGACATAACAAACTAAAACTATAAAATGCCTAAAATGCCCCTAAAGCCCTGACATAACAAACTAAAACTATAAAATGCCCCTAAAGCCCTTGAACTAATAAGATTCTCTTTATTATGTTGATTTCTTATCTTACCCCTTTTTATAAAGTTGTACGTGAGTGAATGCATAACAATATCCCACCCTAAAAGAACCACCTTGTCCTCAAGGTGGATAAAAGTGAAGGTGTAAGGAAGTCATGTGTGTTCCATACACTAAAATAGTAGATATTGTTTATGCATCAATAACAGAACATGCAATATAGTTATAGTAGCTGCATGCCTAACAACCCGTCTTTAAAGATCAATGAAGTACTTAGGTATCTCAAAGCATCCATCCATAACTGCTCCATTCAAGTTCTTCTCACTATCTTTCACCACAACTACCTTTTCTTCTAATGCCTTTGGGAGATGTGGCATAAGGAAATTATTATGAAATAACTTGAGGAGTTCAGCTGACGGGGCTGCTTTTGTATAGCTAGAAAGACCTTTTAGGGTTTTGACCCCGGTTGACTTAAAGATTTGTGTGTGCCTTACTAGAAGCTCAACTACCTTATGGATTTGTATCATTTGCTTGCATACCCTACCAACATCATCATACCCGATTTCATTCCAGTGATCCTCCTTTTCCCTTCTAAAGGGCTCACCTTCACTAAAAATTTCCATAGATAGTGCAACTACACAATAATTTGGTGGGTTGGTTTCAATAACCTTGAACCATACACTTCTCATTCCTCCCCTCACAAGAAAGAAGTCACCCTTTCTGAACTTGACACCATTCTCTTGGTAGAGTTCTTCGTAATCCTGGTTTAGTGAAGCAGTAAATAGCCTTAACAAAAGTTGATTTTCTAGAAACATGATGGTTGTGTTAAGATTCAAGCCAACAACAGCACAACAAAAAGAAGCCACATAGTAATCATTCACTGTGCTATGTATCGACGTTCCTTGTATCAAACTTATTTGTTCCTTGAATCCTTGGCGGGTCCTCAACAGCTTTAGACTTGATGTTCGACTTTTAAATGGATCATTCACTGTGCTATGTATCGACGTTCCTTGCATCAAACTTAGTTGTTTTAGCTATAGTATCAGTCTCAACACGACTTATTGGTACGATTCCAATATCAACAACCTTGTAGACATCCTGAAGCGGTAGACGGAGTGGCTTGTTCGGTGGTTTCTTAAGCTTTTTGCTCTGATCAAGTGCTTCAAGAAGGGTTAGTCCTTTGAACCAATGAAGGTTGGTTGACCTCTCATTGATGTTATCTTCAAATCGAGAGACCGGGACAAATGAGATTTTGTCATGGTTGTATCCCACTTCCATCATGATTTCCTTATACCTAGATTTAGAATAATGGGGTACGGTGGCGTCCATCTTGACTCGGTTTTCTTCACAAACAAACAACCTTAGAGGCTTGGGTATTATTGTTGGTGATGGCCCTAAAAAAGCTCCAAGAACCAATTTACTGTTGTTATTGGAGTTAGGTTTCAAGGCTGTGGCGAAGTGATACGTACCCATCCCATACTAGGCCCGTATCATGCCATAAGCCAATGTCGAACTGACTCCCAAAAGCCAGTAGTTTTAGGAGGAGGGGACAGCTAGACTTATTATAAGCCACCAACTTATAGTATTTCAGCCAATGTGGGATCATAACACGAAGTTGGTGGAAGACAGAAGTTCAACATTTATCCCTAGGGTTTTGGAGGTGAAATTGGAAGAAACTGATGTTGTTGACTCCAAAGCGGTTGGTGCGAAGCTTGAGGAAGCGATCATCAATGGTGACGAGAGAGTCCGTGCTGGTGAAATCATCGGTGTTTGTGAGACTTCTTGAGTTACCGTCATTTTAATTTCATCTGGGCATAATTTCTTATCGGCCTTAATAGTTTAATCCCAAGCATGTAGGCCCAACTCGCTAAATTCGACCCATTCCTTGCTTTCCAGCCCATTTCTTCAATGACCTAGGTACCCTTCTTCCGTTACTTCGTTTAACGGAGTCGTCATGCTAGGTCTGTGCTCTGCCTTAGAATACGCCACTAGATTCCGGCGATCCCCGACAACTCCTTCCTAGTTAAAAATCGAGTCCATCTTTCCCTTGTTCCTTGCTTCAATTTCCGGGGATGGCGGCAGTGGTAACGAGGGTGGTCTGAACTTACGACGAATCAAACTCTTCATCTCTTCATAATCTCTAATGGGTCCCCTCCTATGCTCCCATTCATACCACAGTAGGGCGTCGCCTTGAAGAGCCATCAGTGCATCATCAAACTTGTATTCTTCTCTCAATCGGTTTAAAAGAAAAATACCATTCAGCCTCAAGGATCCAGTCATCGGACTGACATCGATCAAGGGCATCTCCAGCTCTTCGGAAGGTAGCTTGGAACCTTCTGGGATTGGAATTGCACTCTTGCTGCTGTCATGGTCGGAATCTACTAGGGATCCAAACTGAGAATTCGTCAAAATCTGTTCCGTTGTGTCGTTGGAAGATTTGAACTGCCGACAAATTAATCCTTTAAGCTCTTCTCAGTCTCGTATGGGTCGCCTCCAATGCTCCCATTCATAGAAAAGTAAAGCTTCGCCTTCTAGAGACCTCACAACAGCTTTCATCGTTTCTTTATCCTCATACGAGAAGAGTGACCTTTCCACATCAAAAATCCACCCCTCCGTGCTAGTTCCATCAAACAAGAACATTTCACGTTTGTGAAATCTCTGTTTAGTCCCTCCTTCCTTAAGAACCGTTTCTCTATTCCTTTTTTTAGGCGGCGGCGGCGACGACGGTAGTCTATAGTTGTTGTCTTTACCTATTTTCTCTGAAAAAATGGAACAAACCCTCTCGTTTTCACTGGCCATCTCAGTCATCTTCTCCACAAGTAGAGAACACTGATTGTTCATCAGTTGCTGCAAATCAGTTACAACTGATTTCACTCCTTCCCATCCTTCTTCTGCCACATCTATTCTTTGATCCACAGTAACCAGGTTCATTGCTCTGAAACCAATTGTTATGAACTGGATTCTAAGAACCGATTCAATAACACATAAACAATCAAATGATTCTAATATTGATTGAAAACACTCGATAATAATGATGATAGTTTAGCTGATTCGAGATAGCCAATCTCCTAATAGGAATGAAATTCCAAATTTCACACAAAAGATAGATGCCTCGCTCCCTTGCCCACTACTATCTGACATAACAAACTAAAACTATAAAATGCCTAAAATGCCCCTAAAGCCCTTGAACTAATAAGATTCTCTTTATTATGCTGATTTCCTATCTTAACCCTTTCTATAAAGTTGTACATGAGTGAATGCATAACAACATGCCATCAAGAAAGAATACTACTTATCATATAAAATTTATATCAACTTAATTTGTAGTTTTCCCCTTCCCGGAATGAAACATGATAATATTTTCTCTTCTTATTCAAAATAATAGTACAATTTTTGTCCGAATGAAACAAACAAAAATCAACAACATAGACATAGTCACTGGATAATGGAGCAGTCTGATTCAGACCAATATATTATTTGGAAAATCATACTTCCAAAGTAGCAAGTATTAGAAAACATGTCATGTTTTGTTAACCGTGGGGATTTTTGGATAAAATTCTTAACCTTGTATCAGGAGGATTCATGTCATGCCAAAAAGTCGGTAAAACTACATAATTCTTATTGAATATTCTAAGTTCCAATTAAAGTTGAATCTTTTTTTCTTTTCTTTTTATCATTATTATAGAAAGAAATGCAAGATAGAAGTTAAAGCAGGGGCGGATCTATGTGGTAGCTGCTACCCCTAAAAAATTCCCGATCAGTATATGAATCAAAGATGCCTATGCTGGAAGAACATGTTTTGCTACCTTAAAAATATGATGTGCTAACCCTCAGCCCAATAATTAAAGCCCAAAAGGCTAAAATCCCAATAATTAAAGTCCAACTTACTTTGTAAATCAGTGTATTTGTATGTGCTCTCAGCCAAATGCGATACTTAACTGGAACGAACGTGTGGTGCCTCCGTTGGAAGAAATCGGTAGAATCTATACGTTAGAAACTTAGAAATCAAAGATTTCAAAACTCAAATCATGAAACAACTCAACAAGTAAGTTTCCTATTTTTCTTTGAAGTTTGAAATTCGGTGTGTAACTGATGAAAATCAATTTTTAGACCTCCGTTGAAAACGTGAAATTAGGTTTCCATTGAAATAAGTTGTTTTCAAGATTGTCTTTGTATTCGTTAGATGTTGCTGACATTGATTGTTACGTTTTTTTATATCTTCAAGTTTTAGGGTAACTAGAATATGCGATTGGTTCTTTTTGAAACATTGTTTATGTGTGATTATGTTCCCAAACAAATTCACGAAAGAGAAACCAATTCATAATATTTATAAGCCTAGAACTCAATGGTTATGTATATGTTAATAAGTTATTTCATAGCTTCCTTACAGAAAGCTAAAAAGTATGAACTAGATGATTTTAAGCCTATTCTAATCCTGATTCACAAGAAGGATAACATAATGCAACTATAAGATTGTTTTTCCTTGTCACAAGCATGAACAGAACCCATGTTTCAGGAACACTAATATAATAAGATGCTAGATGACATCTACTTATAACACTAATACTCAAGGGGGCATCATTTAATTAAAGATGAATAATTCAAGAAAAAGGAGAGCGAATCTTTCATTGGTTATCTAATCTTATTGTTGACTTCCTAAATTAAATCCCATGACTTATAACTTGTATAAAAATTAATTTGTGAATCAGAAGCTCCAACGGATCGAGAGAAGAGGGGTCCGACAGTTGGCGCTCCAACGTTCTTACAAGGAACATTTTTTTGGTTTAAATTGGCCTTAAAAAGGCAAAAATTACGAACCCGTTTAACCCGAATTCGAAAAACCGAACCCGTTTAACCTGAATACAAAAAATCATATTATATAAAACGGGGTAAAATATTTGTGCTACCCCTAAACTTTTGTTCTGGCTCCGCCACTGCCCACAAGAATCTCCATGTGAGCTTCAAACCTGTTTTGGGGAACTTTAATGGGCAAGATGAGGTACCGAAGTCCATTCTCCAATTGTCCCTTATACAACTTGGGATGTGATGGAAGTTCAAAACCCAAAAAAAACTTTAACTCCCTGCTCCATTCAATGCTTTATGTGTCAAACAATAGCTCAAATGATTGCTATTCTAAAGCACTCTCTGGTCATGTTGTACTTGATGCATGTTGCTGTAACGTCCCGACTCTCAGGTAATAATTTTATGGCTTTGATTTTCATAAGTTGCAAGGAATATAGCTTTTAATTAATTATAGTAACGTTATTAGGATCTTATAATAATTATTTGGGCTATTATTATGAGTTATATAAGTGTCGTTATTATATCTTTTTAACTACTCGCGGTACGGGGAATCTAGTTTAAAGGGCCGCATATGGTTGTTGATTTCAGAAGTGCTATATGCCAAAATGGTCTTGCCCTCCGGTGTTTTATGTCTGGCCCTTGTCTGTACATAGTGGTTGGAAAAATTGTTTAAACGCTTATATAATAATAATAATAATAATAATAATAATAATAATAATAATAATAATAATAATAAGACTAATAATTAGTCACGGTAAATATTAGACTAAAATCTAGTGGTAATAATACTAGGTTTCGTCGAATGAAATTATTTTTAAGAAGCGAAGCGCTGTCTGAGTTCGGAATCACCAATTTTTCAGGTGAGTGCATAGTCACTTTCATCTTACACGTAGATATGAAATATTTTATATAAATTTTGTGCTATGTGTGCATAATATCTTTATACTTTCTATCTATGTTGGATGAACGATTTTTATACATGTTTTAAATGATTTAAACTGTATATGTATTTTATATCTACAAAAATGTTGGGGTAAAACATGGGTAGATGTAATAGACGATGTGTGATAAAATGATGAGAGGCCTCGATGTTGTTGTTGTTGATTCTGTCATCTAGCGGAGTATGGATGACGACCACAGACTTTTCTAGACAGTCCAGTGGAACACTAGCAGGCTCGCAACCTGTAGGTGTTTGTGAACGATGTGTTCACCGGTGTACTCCATCCCCCTCATGGTTGCCTTAAGGACATTTATTGCTGAGGAGTCCCCTTAGCAGTAGTGTCCATCCCGATGATGATCCTTAGGCTAGGTCCCTTATGATAGGTGTTTAGGGACGTAAAGTGAGGATAACGAGAACGGGTAATCGGGTTATTGTTGGTTGATGAAATTAAATAACTTATTTATTGTGGGTTGAAAACCCTATGTGCTCACCAGGCTCCCAAGCCGACCCACTCAGTTTCATGTATTACAGGTAGTGGCGTTCGAGCATAGATGTGATGTTTTGGATGAGGGATTACGGATATAGGCCTGTAGATATGAATAAATGTAGTAAGGCTTATATTGTACTGTTTATGCTTTTGATCTGTATCGAACATAACATCCCGAGGTTTTTAATGAAATACATTTCTACGGAAATGCTTTGATAAATCTTTATCATATTTTATTTTGGGAACAAATTTCGCAACACTTTTATTTAAAATGTTACTCTGATTTTTAAAAAAAGCATAAACAAAATCGGTCTTTTCTGGCCGTGGAAATGGGGATGTCACAATCGGACCATAGTCCGGAACTACTACTAGCTAAACGGGCCGGCCTTGGTGCCTTAGACCCGTTCCTACTGGAGGAAACTCGCCTCGAATGCTAGCTGTGAAATCTCGTGTGAGGAATCTCTGACGGATGCTCCAACGACTCCCCGGCTATCAATTTCACAAAAACACTTAATCAAACATCTGATAATTCTTCTTAGGGTAAAATGACCATTTTACCCCTGGTCAAAGTCAACGTCCTAGTCAAAGTCAAGGTCAAGGTCAACTCCCAGTCAACCCAATTCGTCGAGTTATCTCTTAACTCGGCGAGTTCCTGTACTACTCAGACTCGTGGTCAACCGAGTCAACCGCCGAGTCCCTTCACAGACTCGTCGAGTTCTACCTGGCATACAATCGGGACAACCCGGCTTCAACTCGTCGAGTCCCTTACTGGACTCGTCGAGTTCCCCTGTCTGTTTGGGCTATAATAATGGATTAAGCCCCTACACCTCAGATCCAAGCTTCATACTTCACATAAACCCTTAGAATGCCCTTTTAAGGGTAAAGTTTCTGATTTTACCCCTTAATACCACTTCTTAAAGGGTTTAGCTCAAACCTTAATTCCTTGGGACCTAGAACTTGGTCCTTAAGCCCTCCATACACCAAACTAAAGCTTACAACCTCAGATCTAAACCCCTAGCACTACTTCGGCACGTAAAGTTTCCACCTTTTCCCCACATGCATGTCCTTTTAGGCTAAAAAGGCCAATATGATACTCTATGGTTTGCATGGGGGCTCCAATGGCATAAAGTTTTCACCTTTATGTCATAACATCCCCTCTAGGTCCTAGATCTGGAAGATTATACACTTAGGTCGTCCATTCTCCAAAGGTTACATTCTTGGGCCAAAACCTTCATAAAAGGGGAAGGAAGATATTTAATGAACTAGAGGTCAAGAGAGAAACTTGATTACCTGAAAATGTAGCCAAAGAAGTGTGGTTTCTGGATCTACTCTCTTCCTCTTGAGCCTTCTTACTCCTTCTTCTTCAAGCTTCAAGAACACAAAAGATTGCTTACAAATGGCTCACACACTCACAAGATGCTCTAGGGTTTCGTGGATTAGGGTTTGGGACAAGGAGGCTGTAAATGAGGCTAAGGGGTGGGGGTTAAGGAGCTTAAATAGGGTGCAAAACCCCGAAATTAGGGTTTCATTCTGGCCGATATACTAACTGAGTCGAGGGCTCTTGACTCGTCGAGTAGGTAGCTCATACCCCGCGCATATTCTGCCTTCTACTCGACGAGTTAGGGCCACCAACTCGTCGAGTCCCTCTCTTAAAATGAATAAATAAATAAATTAAATGCATACCAGGAACCAGACATTACA